CCCCCTTAATGTTTATAAATTATAGTTTGTATACAACTAAAAATAATATAATAAAACAATCAACTGAATTTTCACGCTGCAAAGTAGAGTAACTAATGGTAAAATCTTTTGTAAAAACCAACGAATTCAAAGTTGCGTGAAGGGTACGACATCATATTACATATAACAAATCTCACGCAATTGAAAAAATTCAGCTACATAGTTCTACTCGCGGAACAATCTTTGTAATATTAGTTAAAAATTATATGTGCGATACACCTATGCTTAAAATTGTTGTTCTTTAGGATCATTGCTTCAGTATAAAATCTATTTTTGTATTATTATTATACACTACTTCGGATAATGAGATAAAAAAGAAGGAAAGAAAAATATCTGCAATATTCGAAAAAGAATTCAAATACCCTGATTGGGGAATTTATCGTAATTATGTAATTTGTACTGAGTATAGATAAACCACTACGTTTTTATAATAATATATTTGATTACGTATTGTGCAGAATTGTAAATATATTACACATTCTACAACATTGTCCATAAACTTCTTCGTAACTTCTTTGCAGCGGAAAACTCGTATCTTAAATATTAAAGATACACATACAGTTATAGTAATATATACCGTTATTTATACAGCCTAACCTCTAAGTAGAGCCTTATAGACCACATGATTTTGTTTCTTCTTTCGCTGCTACCTCAATAGAATTTCATCCGAAATCCATCGTATGTCATGAAATAAAAAGTATAATTTATCTTGATACAAGGCCTTACTTCCAATAAATCTAAATGTTTGTAAAAAACCGAAAACTGTATACTTCATTATTCATTCCCCTTTCAATAAATGTGCGCGACTCTTTTGTATCTTAACTTCATATAATAATTATTCTAAAAAACGTACATCCTTCATTTTTTTTCCACAATTCAGACATTTAACTTCACGCAGATACACGTTACAGTATATCGAATGATCTGTCAAATCATATATCGTAGTCTACAAAATTAAAGACTTTCTTTGTTGAAAAGATTTTTTACACAAGGATACCAGCCTCTCATGGAATTAGCTTTGTAGCCAAAACAGCACGCAATGCACTTATGGTCCCCTGTTTTTATCACTAAAAACTTCAATGAAAAACAGTATTTGTGATTACTGTAGAGTGTATCAGTACACTATTTAAGGGGAATTGTTGAAGACTACAAAACATATATTACATAAATATTAAATTACTTTTTTTGTCCAATTCACAATTAGTGGAATTAAGTTGTGCAAAACACTTGGAGTTAGATTCACAAAATTTCTAATTTTCTCATATCAAGTTATTTTTCTTCACTTTGTAGCATATGTATTTATACAATTTCATTTAATTTGTTTCTATTGTGTAGCAGTATCTGAAATGCTCTGCCGCCACGTCGCGTGGAAAGGAATCTTTAAGATTTTGACACGTGTCTTGGGCAATGCCGTTAGTAACAGTTTTTGTAGTTGAGGCAACGGTAATATATCCACTTGAGGATTTGTTAGGTTTGGTTGTTTATCATCACCTGAAAAACAAAGATTTTCTCGTTAAATAACTATGCACAGGAAATAATTGGCGTGTGCTACATACAAATCTATTTAAAATATACCTTTTTGATTGTCATTTTCATCTTCAACATCTTCGATTAATTTTAAACAAGGTACTGGTTTTAGAACTGGTATCGAGTCGCCAGTAACTTGTTTACTCATTAAATTACATTGATCAACAAATAATTCTGTAACCCTAAGTAACTCAAGTGTTACACCCCAAACGAAGTGTGTTAAATTATTCGACAATTCGGTAACACCGCCGAGCACCATGTTGTTGGATGTTGCCGATTGGGATATGTAAGTTGGTATGATTAATAGCCTCTTAATATTTTTACAATTTGCAAGACATTTATCGAAGCCATTTTTTACGTCGAAATTGACCAACTCCATTTGGCTTAAATTTTGTAGTTTCGACACACCTTCCAAAATATCGAAGGTGCAGCACGAGCCTTGTCCCTTTTCAAGCCTTAAACGCTCTAATTTCTGTAGTTTTATCAAAACAGTAGTACCAAATTTATCTGGAAAATCGGAACATTCGCCTAATTCCAGTGTCTCCAAATTTTGTAAGTTTTGTATAATGTCGATTCTCTTTTTTCCAAGTTCCTTAACCGATGTTAAACTCTGCAATTATATGTGAATTTTAAGGATTAAAGAGACACGATACGACAACTGGTAAATAAAAGAAAACTGACAATGTATCAACTGCTACTTACAAGTTGCGATAAATGCGTTAATTCTTGTAAAGGCGTGAGATCTTCCTGCAGGGACATTCCGCTTATTGCTTTCAACCTCAATTCTTGACAGCGTTTCAGGTTTCCAACCGATTCCAGGTTTAAGGTATCGCATTTTATTGACATTGCACTTAATACCTCCAGCTGAGGACAACTGCTTATAACTTCTTCAACTACTATTACAGGACATCTGCACAACTCTAGCTTGACAAGACTAGTCACACGTGGTATAACTACCAAGAACTTTTTCCAAATGCTATCGGATTCACCCGCCACAAGCATTTTTCGAAGATCTAGATGTTGAGTTCCACGCCTTTGTAACGTATCAGCCAAACCATCCCAGTCCGTAACCTGACTATTTTTCATTCGAACAGTTTTCCACAAAGAAGGATGTGCAGCCAAATCCCTCCACATTTTGCAAACCCTAGCCGCCCGAAGTAATTCTTGAACTTTAAGGTATTGGAATATACGTAACAAGGCATGATATCCAGCACAGACTGAATCCATAAAATGTTGTTGCTGTTCTGTTTCCGGTTGAGTTTGCTTCCTTCTGCAAGTATTGAGATGAAATTACAATTAAAATCCTTTTTCTTTTTTCAAAAATTGCCTAAAATCTATGTACTAAGGGTATCATTCATCGCATTTGTAAAATTGGTTTATTTCTAAAATAAAAGAGTAATTGTACATTACAATCCGAACTTTTTTCGTTATTTCCCTTAACATTAAGGTGAGAACATGAATTTTTTAAAGAGGCTTTTAAAGGACCAATGATTTACAACAATGATGCCGACGATCTTATACTGTATCGAATAAGTAATACAGGTAAAAGCCTCTGAAAACAAGTTTTAAACATTGAGAAACTCGACATTAAAAAAAAAACAGATTTAAGGTATAGAAACAAAAAACAAACATAAACAGAAGGTATAAATAATTAGGAACAAGGAGTGTAGGATATTTGTGGGAAAACGCACTAAGAGTTTTTTTGTGTTTCAGCTCGCACATGTCTTTATATCTGTAAATATAAAAAGTAAAAATGAATTAGATTTTTTCCACTGAAGCACTTATCAGTAGCTGTATCAGTAATTGTAGTACGAATTGTAAATGACATGTTAACAAATTTAGCCAATATTTTTCTTCTGATTCTAAAGAAAAAGGAGCGAGTCTATCAAATACAGGCTTTTACATTGATACTACAATTACACAATACCTGCAAGAACCAACGATATGTGATTGTTTTGTTCATTTTTTTTTCACACGTCTCAAAAATTTGGCCGCATTTCTAAGAAGCTAAGGCAGTGTGCTTCGATCACAAGATAAAATCAAATTCATTTTCCACCTCGAACTTTTATATTTTCAAATATAATAAACGTCAGTATATATTGCATTTACAATGGCATTCGCATATATAATTTTGCAGAAATTTTCTCAATAATAATTTAATGAGGCTATGCCAGAAGGTTCTGACATAATTAGAAAAGAATATTAAAAAGAAGACAAGCAATGAAATACACACTGATGATAATCAACTAATTATCATATAAACAGCACACATATCTTGTAAATACAATATGTACAAAGCAACTGCCAAAACCTCAAAAGAGAGTTGCCTTAATTTATCTGGAGAAAATGTATAAAATAAGGAGTAAAAGAAATATGTTGGTGTGTTTGAGAAACAAACACTTACTTGCTACTTATTTTAATAGTACCCAAACTACTTGTGACCGATTGACGTGAATCAACTTTATCGTTATTTGTACTAGTATTTGTATTATTTACTAACGCCGTTCTGTCAGGTGATTTATTACTTGCAACCGATCTCTCGGTTTTCTCTCTAAGATCTTTCTTCGGATTGGTTCTGTCGTTTTCTGATCTACTTTCAGTTAACGTAAATACTTTATTACTGTTATTGCACGTTTCTTCTCTCTGTTCTTCTATAGAACATGCAGTAATTTCTGTAGGCGTAATATTGTTCGATAAATTTCTATCAACTGGCTTATCGACATCTTTCCCTAAAGAATTTGCCGACAAAAGACCATGTGACCTGGAGATTAACGAATTTTCAGCAGTGTTCGAAATATCAGTAAATGAACCATCCTGAAGTATTGGAGGCTTATCGCCAATTTTATCAGGTTTCACTGTTATAGCTGGCTGAACAGCCATAGCGTTATTTTTTGGCACAACAATATATTTTTTACCACCCATCAGTGCAATATTTTGAGCTGGTTTTGGTACAATTCCATCATGACTTTGCAAAAACTCATTTTCGGTCTGAGAATACCAACTGGTCTCTTTTTTCTCTGAATTCGAAGGGGAGTACGATGTTGATGGTGGTGTTTTTGTAACTTTAATAGCATTCCGAGACTGTGATTCTGTACTATCAGATTTTGGAATTCTTTGTAATTTTGGCGGACTTGAGTTTGCCTGATGTTTTGTTTTTGCACTTTGCGTGCCTAGCATACTAATAGGTATTAGCGGAGGAGGCGTCATGGACGCATTTGTTTGAGATTGTTGAGATTCACTAGTGTCCTGCTGACAGTTCTACAACAAAATGAACATATTAAAAACTTTTACACTGTAATCCAAAGTACATTTATTACTACTTGTTTTATATTTAATTTTATTCAAATATGACTAGTTAATAACAATTACAGTAGACTCGCGTTATGGAAAATCGTGTCATACGGGAGTCTACTATAACAAATTACATTTAAAATTATATTTTTAATTGCATCATTATGAAAAATATTTTAAATATTATAGCTATAAGTTGGAAAGAATTTTCGAAAAAACAATCGTAAATATATTTTATTATAGTTCTAAATGAAACATACCTTGCAAACGTAATCGTCACTTCCCGCAAATTCCAAACCATCAACACATTCAGGATGATATAAACAGAGACACACGCTACATTGTAAGCTTGGTATTAACCCCATACTCGTTGAACATCTTATACTGCACGGTTCTTGAACTTTCGGCCTGTAAGATGTGCGTTGATTGGGGACAAGGATTTAGGAATGAAAAACACAAAATTTAAATTAGGGATTTAAGGATTTTAAAGGATAAAGAAGGATACAGTTATGAAA